GGCCGGGGCGAGACGGTTGAGACCGTTAGGTGGGGGGACCCCGCGGGGCCGGGGCGAGACGGTTGAGACCTTTGGAGGTGGCCCACGTGGCCGGGGCGGCCGTTGAAACCGTTAGAAACCTTAGCGTCCGGGCAGCTGCGTCCCGTGCCTCCTCGCCGTTAGCCAGAGCAGGTCAGGTGGTAGCCCGGGCTCACAGTCGGGGCTGTCCGTTCGGCGCCGTGACACGCTGAGATAAAGGCAGTTCGTGGGGTGAGCGGCGCAGTTTCTGCGGGTGCCGGCATTTCCGTTAGCCTGGGCGCTGGACGGGCGGCACATGGCGCCTCCCGGCGGTGCCCGTAGGGGCTCCCTTTGGGGCACATTCGGCTTGTCTGGCATCTTCCAGGCCCGAAAGGTTCAGTGTCCTGACAAGAGGGAAACCCCTGCCTCCAGATCGAGCTGGTATTTTGTTTGTTTGCATTCAAGCMRAGCTTGCCTTTTTTTTTTTYCCCTCTATTGAACGACAAGTTGCYGAGTGCTGTTAATATTCAGAATCTTGAATACTGTAATACAGCAATATTTGAAATCTCTGTTGAGAGCAAAGGAAGAATCATCAATAGCTTCGTTTAATAAGAAATGTGACACTTTGCTGCTTTCCTTTGTCATTTTAATTGAATGTGGTAGAAATTGCAATTTAATATTTCTGCTATTTTCTAGGGATATGTCACCTTGGTGTCACTAGGTACCTTTTTTATTTTATTTTAAGAAGGAGAAAAACCTACTACATCTGATGACTTTAAAAACTTTTATTCACAGATCCTGGAAAAAAAAAAAAGATTTAAGTTACATCAGAATGAAGGTATTTTGGTAGAAAAAGGCCTAATCATGTGAAGACACCAGTGTTAAGGAGACAGCTGACCTTCATGTGAGTACTTTTTTTTTTGCAGCAAGATTCAAATGTGGAAATGCAAAGGAGATTCCACAGTACTGCAGAAGGATCTCCTGAGCTCTGCCAGTCTAGTTACTCAAGTTAGTCCGAATTCTTTTTTCTTCCTTCTGTTCAATCCATGCAAAAACAGATAGAGAAAAACAACTATGGCAATTTATTTAAAATAAGTCAGAAATCCCAGTTAACAAGAAACCAGAATGAGTTGATAAAGCTCTAAAGATATTTAAATAAGTAACATAGGGTATTTTAGCAATGAATCACTTTATTAGTGATGCTCCTCTCCCTTCTTTTTATGAAATATGAAAAACAAATAGAAAAGATRGTTGCAAGCTCAGCTGTGTTGAAGCTTGTATTAGTGAAGTGATTTGTAAGGTATTATTGATCTTAATCTGATCAGCTTTAATTCAGAAGATCAGCAGATGGAGACTTACGAATTGATTTTGCTTTTAGTGAAGATTTTAAAGATACTAGTTCAATTAATATAATATAATTAATRTAATTTGCTGGCAAGCTATGTTAACATCCAGAGCCCTCATGTGCTGAAAATGATTGTGTGAGTGGTCTCCTTAATGCTCATAATTAATTCAGTGGAAAACTACTGTGCTAGTAAAGTTATAAAAATAAATAGGAATCTCAATTTAAAATTCCRTATTTGTATTGTGGTATCAAAAAATGAGTTATATGTAACACACATGTAACACATAAAAATATGTGATAATTGACTTGCTTGATAACAGTATGTTCAAAGAGTATGTTTAATTTGTATCTATTGAATTTATGATTCAGATGTCCTCTATTTAAATATAACTCAAGGCATAATAAGGAAACAAATGCATGAAATTCACTTTCTAATGATCTCTAATGAAGAGAAATCTGATTTTATTGCTCTTACTGGGTGAAATATCTCTGCATTGGTCATCTTCTATGGAAGTGCTTATTGTGGGTGTAAAGACCCTTTCATTGTAAATTGGTTTGTGTTGCTGCAGATAACCTTGCTTCCCCTTTTTTCAAAGATGTAGAAATGCCTATACTTTATTCTAGAACCAACCATATTTACTTGAAGACAAATCGTTCCTTCATTCTTACAGATGGTATTTCTATTTTCACTTTAGTTTTTCACTTTCTTTTTTCCATATATGACAAAAATGAAAAGGCAAAAATTAGGAATCAAAARGCTGTATTTAAGTGAAGAAATCAAGAGTGTAAAAAGTTTCAAGTTTTTCTAGTGTTATTATACTTTAGTAACTTTGCAGATATCACTAGATTTCTGGTACAGTGATTTCCATCCTATTTTGCATATAAGTGAGTAAATATACTGTGAATTCAGGCAATAAAGTAGATACTGTAAATCTTTGTTTTTACAAATATTGGTAGAACTAATCACAAACAATGTCTTATGTACATTTGAATTTCCTTCTCTTTTTTTTACTGTCTTCATGAAAACTTCTTTAGCAATCAGTGCTATGTTTGTTCTTTGCTCAATCTATGACAAAATATTGTGTTAAGAAAATTGATGGACATTTTAATAGGTGCCTTTAGGTATCTAGAAATTAGGGTCTATGTAATATTACTTTCAGATGCCTAGAGTGAGTCTTAGAAAGAGTTAAGGACTGAACTTCAGCCCTTATAAATTTCACTCAGCTRCTGCAAATGGACAATCCAGATATTAAGCTTGAAGAGATGTAGAGGTGTGTTGACACCTGTACAATGTCTTCTGTATCATCATGAATTCAGCATTCCTTGCTATATTGCTAGTCAGCTTTCTATTCTGGCTATTTAGTCAATAAGCTTGTTATCCAAGCTTTAACCTTGATTAACTAAAGGCCTATAACCTGCCAACCTAAAGCCAATAACCTGCTCTATTGTTGAAAAATATTTATTTAGGTCCAGTTTTAAACAGTAAAATTTTATCTGCATTTCATTGCACTTGCCTAATACTGAAGTACRACAAAAATTAGGAAAAAATAAAGTATCTTCATGTTTTCTCAGTCTCTTAATCTTAAAGTACTTGCAGGTCTTCAGACTATATTATGAAACAGAATCCAAATATATTTGGAATCAAAAATATCAGTAAAGCTGATTTAAAAAAAGTAAAGCTTACAAGTAGCCAAGAGATGTAGAAGTTTTTTTCTTAGAAAAAGTGTAGGTTCAAAATTTCTTCATCTCTACCAGAAGTTGCATTTTTTACTAAGCCTAATCTGCTCACATTTTGAGACAGAAATATGTCTCTGTAGACATAGGCATGTATTACGTATGTAGCTGATACTCTGGTCATTCCCTTTAAACATATACTATAATGTCATTTGCTTACCTTCCCTTCTTGACTTCTTTTTCCTGAAYGTGGTGCCAAACTTGCAATGAGTGAAGTAAGATCATGAGTTAGCTTTTGCCCATCTGTGAGATGTAAAATCAAGTTGGAGCTTTTTTAATGTTTTTTTTTTCTGGTGCTAAAAGAACAATTATGTCGGTAGCTTGCCAGTTGCTAATTCTCTTTTAATTATACAAAAATTACTGCGTTACCTATGGCATAAAGAAAATACCACATTAAAAACAAACAAACTTCTAAAGATATCAGTATTTGAAGGTCTTGTTTAATTGAACTCCTTTTGTTAGTATAAAGACTGATTTTTAGTTTTGATAGAGATTGAGAGGAAGATGAGTGCCCACATGCTGGGAATTTCTGGTTGGGTACAATTTCAATTGTGAGGCTATTCTCAGCTGCATTTAATCAAACTAGTTATGTTCCAATCTGTGAAACTGTCAGCTTTTGTTAGCTGAAAATCTTACTGTCTGTCTCTTCTGATTCTAGCTGCTGTCTTGCTATCTTTTTCCCTTCCAATTTTCTCTACCTGGTATTATTTCAAAGAGAAGGAATGTAYTTTGAATAAAATAAATTGAATAATTGTTAATAAGCTCTTAGAAAATTAACTTGTTCTGTTGATGAGCAAGGTAAGTCTAAGAAAAGACATATGGATTTAGCTGCTAATATGACATAAGAATGGAAGTTACAGCCTAAAATGCAGCAATTAAAGGTACCATTTCTAGAGGTACCACTCCAAGGAGGTTCCAATTGCCATAATAATTCTGTTTCAAATGCAAATATCCTGAATCAGAACTTTCTGGCTAATGAGACATTCAAGTGAGAAAGTTGGATTTTCTTACATAGCCTTCCAAGGTCTTGTTGGGAAAAATGTACATTTTAACAAATAGTGTTTAGTGTTTTAAACAGATCTGTTTAAAAAAAAGTAAAGAAAAAAAGGCCTAGTCTGGCTATCATAATTTCAGCTTTATACTTTTTCACTTTGAGCTGGCCGATTTATTCTAGCTCTGGGAATCATAGGAAGGGCAGCCTGTATAAGAGACAAGTAGAGACTTTTTCTCTAGGTATTATATATTTAAGGTAGCGTCAATTTCTTCTAGTTAATACATTTATT